GCTGGGCTGGGTCGAGTCCTCCATTGCTGACCTAAGAAAGAGATCCTTCTGAGACTTCCAGACCAGACAAATGAACAGTAAGTCTTACAAAACACCATTTTAAGGAATCTGGTGTAAATGAATCGAGCATAAAGTTTTCCAGAGGGTGTGTGACTCGACTGTTTCTTTTTTTCCAGCACCAATTTTTCCGAGTCTAATTAAGTCAGATCTGGTTTCTGAGGCTGAGGGGTCCCAGACAAGTATCACAAAGGCTAGAGTGTTCCAACCTCGACCTGGTGGGACCGAGGGGTCTCCCCCAGCTCTGTTCTGTGATTGATGACATAGATCTGCAGCCTTCTGCTGGCTTTCATTAGGCAGACTGGATGCCAGTGTCCCTCTACCCAGTAACCAAGATACTCTGATGACAAATGAGGTCACTTATGGCAAACATACACAAAACACTAAAACACTAGCCTCGTGTACTGGGCTACCTGTACTCCCCTGCTCTTGTCCACGGAGGGAGGTAGCATCTACTGGGGCAGGTTCTGAGGTCGAGTGAAGCCAAGACTTTTTCCTACTTATTCTGCATAAATTCCTCCTCTACCCGGGAGGACTCTCTCAAGATTTGACAAGAGCTCTGCCAAACCTATAATACAACCTTAATTGAAAAATCTGTAGCAGAGGATTCTCAGGCCTTATAGAAGATGTCCCACCCCTCCTACAGGTTATTTCTCTGCCATCTATTGGCACCTAGCAAGGATTCAGCAAGGGAGGGGGGACAACTGCTCTGTCTCACTGAGACTTCAGTACTTTAAGGCCAGCCTCATCGATAACTTTCTCACACAGCCCTTCTGGGGCCTGAGAAGCAATGCTTTCCAAAGCTAAGAACCACATGAGGTTCTTAACAAGTCTTAAGACTGTCAGCTAGGGAGGCATCTCTGTGTTTTAGAGACCTGCTCCAACCCATAGAGGTCTAGTGGCCCCCTGAAGTCTCAGGTGACTGGTGGACTTCTGGACTGGGGCTTAGGGAAGTGGCATTGTCGAGGCATTTGGGCCCCAAGTGTGGGAAGTTGTACTGCAGCCCCTTCTCTTTAATCAGATGCTCTGGTAGGTTGAGACGTAGGTCAAGTACATCCTCCTGAATGAATATTTAACAAGCCCCCAACAGGGTAGGGTATACCTAGGAAAGACTGGCTTCCTATGAGCAAATGAGTCATTCAGAAAGTGCCCAGGCAGCTAGAGACACTCAAGTGCCACTCAAGTCCTCACGTACAAATTTGACTTTTCAACTTTTTTTTTTTTTTTTTTTAAATCCAGGATCAAGACCACAGACAATTTATTATGTAAGACATGGGGTGAAGAATGATAGAGGGAAATTATGGCTGTGAGTGACATGGAAGTCGATGAAAAGGCTCAAGTTTGTTGACGAGTTTAAATTTGGCTTTTGCTCTTGGAAATGTCAAAGTAATGATAAGAAGCACTTATGCCTTACAGAGCAAATAATCCACAAAGTGTCATTTTCATTTTGCAAACAGGGACACAATAGCAGTCAAATATATAAGCCTAAATACCCAGAGTTAACATACAGGTTCGATAAGCTGTAACAAGGGAGTTAGCATGCTGGTGGGTTTTTAAATCAAATCCATTTTGAACCCTGTGACCTACTGGAGGTTCTAAGTGGAACCTGGGGAAAGCAGCTTTTCCATACAAAACAAGGACGACGACGACAAAGAAAACCCAGGCTCTGCTGGATGTCTATAATACTCATTTGCAGTAAGGCTTTCAAGATACATGAATTTTTATAGCATTTGTATTTTAAGGATTTAGGGCAAATACATTTTTTTTTCTACTTGATAAAAAGAAAATTAGTACTTAAAAGGTTCAAAAATATATCGATTGAGTGATTTTTTTTTTTTACATAAATAAATTATATTGATTTTTTTAGGATTTAACAGCTGAAAAAACCCTTTCTGCTTCCACTGGAGGCAAAACTGAACAAAATGTTAGTTAAATAGAGAGCAGCATTTCTAAGAAATCTGTTGTCAGCATTATAGACCATCTATGCTACAAAGATGTCATCGAATAGGATCTGTTCAATTACTGGATTCTTTCTTCTTATATGATCAGTTAAAGGATTTCTGATTTATATCTCTGATTCATAAAACTGGGACTCCACTTTTTGAAAATACATCTGATTGATTTTTCGGTCACGATTTAACAGACTTCTTTGAGATGCTCATTTTAACATTTACATAATTTATAATCCCAAATGTATAAAAGACAATGACAAAAGCATCATAAATAAATAATGCGAACTGAAATAGTTATGTCAAACATTTGGACCTTCTGATAAATTAGCAAAACTGTAACAGAAAAAGTAAAAAATACAGTAAATTGTGACAACAAAAAGTGAAACTGGTACTAGTAACACTTCCAACATTTCCAACGGTCCTGCACAGCCCTGTGCCCCCAGAGTACTGAACCTTGGGCTTATTTCAAGTCTCAGAGTGTGAACTGTCAGTGAAGAGAGATCATCAGAAGGGATGGAACATGAGTGGGAAGGCGAAAGGAAATGGGTTTAAGTGCTGCTCACGCAGGCTCTTCTCAGCTTGGGAAGCTGAGGAAGAAGGGAACATAATGTTAATTTGCAACAGTCTCGACTCACGTGACGATTTGGGATCTGCGTCCAACTGTAAAATATAAACTGAATGGAGAAAAAAATAGAAGCGAAACGCTTTTCACAGTCATAGTATAAAAGGTGGCACACACGTTTTGACAACCTCAAATAACTCGGACAAAAGGACCTCGTAAGTGTAAAAAGTGTTGAATGACTATTTTCTCGCAGGCTCCAGAAAGAGCCTGATTCTTGGTGAAGGAAAGCACAAAATAAAAACCCCTCGGGCCCTGGCAGTGGCTAGAACAATCCTTCAGAGACTGAGGTGAGCGGAGTGCTAGTCGTGTGTGCTTGTGAGCAGCGCGTGCCGCTCGCCCGCCCGCTGCCGGCAATCGCTCAAGGTGTGTAACGCTTCCTCATACTGAGAATCATCTTTTGACCTGGGAGACAGAGAATACGCATGTATAAAATAATGCCTAGTCAGTATTCTTGCTGCAAGAGTCTGAAAAACCATGAAGGGGGAAGTCACGTTACTAACAGTAGGGATTCTGTTTTATAAAGAAATGAATATATGCAGTTTCAACCATTAGTTATAATACTTCTGTCTACACTACTCATTTAGTAATCATGATAAAATAGGGAAATATTTTAACTAAAAATATGCACCAGCGCTTCCTTTTTCTGTGCTTTTTGGTTCCCCATTACATTCTTCCCATTCAACACGGCTCATGGAAAAAAAAGACCTACTCTGTGTCTGTCCTCGGGCCCTTCGATGCTAAATCCCCAGACAGCTTTCTTATGCCATTTTTCCTCCTCAAATAAGTGGGAAACTTGGAAGAGAAGGGGGTAGGGCGTGTCACCAAGTACTGTATTAACTACGATTGCTGGAATGAACAACTGGATAACAGAATGAGAATTCTGTGCCTCCTAGACTAGGTCGACGACACTTATCTAATGAAGTGGCAAGACCCTGCGACTATTAACATCTGTCACCATAGTTCTCAGACAGGAAATCAGGTAGGTAATATTACTTATGGAAACACAGGTTCTTATGAAGGTGAAGTGAGGGAAGTAACAAACTTTTATGGGATAAGAAACTTACAAGTCACATCATTTCTTAAATGAAAATGTTCTAATTGGTGTCACTGTTGGAGTCTTTGAGGCCCCCGTCCCCGGCCTGTGCCGCATGTTCTCTATCTGAGGGCACAGGTGCCCTGGACTCGGGGCAGTTCTGCTCGCTGCCTGGCTCCCTTTCCGAGCCGGGAGCAGGCTCTGGGTTGGGGTTCAGGCTGTCCCCTTTTGTTTTCTTCTTCTTCCTCTTCTGGTTCTCCAGCCCTGCTATTTCAGAGTGTCTGGCCTGCTGCATGGCGGGCAGTGCCATGCCCATGCCAGGAGAGAGAAACATGGATGGGTAAAGGAGTCCGGGAGACACTCCTGGGATAAGAAATGGGTTAAAAGCCACAGGGCTACTCGTAGTTATTGCAGGTTCGGACTGATCGGAATACGGACTAGGCGCAGGCTTGTCTTCAGCTAAAGTGTCCGTTTTTACATCATGGCTACTTGGCTTGTCTTCTGCAGTCTTTTCGGTCACGGAAGTACCACTTTTTGTTGTGCTTGACAGAGGCGCTGGAGCGGTCGAAGTGCAGGTAGTTGCCATGGGGGCATTGAGGAGTCCCCCGACACCAAACATCTGGGGCACAGTGGCCATTCCCGGCAGCATCATGGGCAGCATGCTTAAGGTGCTTTTGACCTCCTCCCCTGTGGGCATTGTGGCAAAGCTGGCCGGGAACCCCACCAGCCCCGTGAGGGGGATGCCTGGCATATTTCTCATGTTCTGCAGCCCTACCAGGTCCATCCCGGCAATCAGTCCGTTCATGAACAGTGGCCCCATTCCAGAGGGCGAGTCCGCCACGATGGCCGGAGCCTTCAGCAGCTCACTCCGAGGCCGCCGCCCCCTCCTGCGGGGGCCCGCGTCTCGAAGAACGGGCTCAGTCAGGGTGGGACCAAACTTGTTTTCTGGGAGAAACCCCTGAAAAGGACAAAGAAACATAAGATGTTGAAGGTTACCGGGCGGCAGGTGACCAGTTGGGGTTCCTGCACCGGCTAGCCCGTCCCCGCTCCGCAAAGGATCCCCGCATGGCGGCACCTGCTGCCTGCCTGCCCGGGGTCGGACCGCTCTCTTGCCTAAGGGTTTCCCTCTTCAGAGGCCGGGGAGCCTGTCGCCACCAAGCAGTGGCTCCAACATGCTCACCGCGCACAAGGAGCGTTGCCCTGCAACTGTCGGGGCTGGGATGGGAACTAGAGACCGGCACTGAAGACGCCCAGGTCTTAGTCAACTCTTTATAAAAGGATTTTATTGAAGCATAATTGACATAACAGAATATTAGTTTCAACTGTACAAAGGAAAACCCATATGGAGCGCTTCATGAATTTGCGAGTCATCCTTGAGCGGGGGCCGTGCTAACCTTCTTGGAGTTGTTCGATTTCAGTGTACCTGCTCCGAAGCGAGCACAGTCGAGACTCCTGTGGCTGCAACCCTTTGACCACATCCCAACATTCATCCTCCCCATGACACAGGAAGGTTTCCATTACAGCCACAAAGCAGAGTAGGTAAGAGTTTTGCAGCAGACAGACCTGATCCTCCAACCTGACTCTGTGACCCTCTAGGTGTGGGACTCGGGCCAAGTCAGTTAACATCACAATCCCGGAGAGAAAGGACAATGACACCTATCTTGTAGGGTTACTGAAAGTGAAGTGTTTAACACATTACTTGACCCACAGGAAGTAGTCCCACTAAAGAGACAATATTAACTGTGTACGTGCCCCACTCCCCCTGGACCCCGAGCTCCTGGAGGGCAATGGCACTGACAGTCTACGAGTTTGTTGAGGAAATGAAAGCATTCTTGACTACCATTGGGAAAATGCATCAAAGTAAGTGATGATATGGTTTCTCTTAAGGGAGACAATCTATTTTTCCTCTGTTTAGAGGTTTACTTTACAGTTTTCTTAGGAGAGAGATCCAGAATTAAGCTCCATGTGGGTTGAACTAATTGTGCCTGGGACTTACGGCTACGCTTGCACACAGGTCACCTGGCACCACACATCTGAATACTTCATCATGACACATCTGGATGACTTTGCTACAGAGAACCACAAAGGAGAACCTACTGCTTTAATGTATCAGTGATGGCGGGCAGCGTGGCAGGAAAAAAGTGCCTGCCTGGGAGTGGGCTTGCAGCAGCCACGCACGCTCCTTCCTGTGACTGTCACTCAGGAGCTCAGCCGGGCAATAAGGATGCAGCAAGAACCTGCCCTTGAACCTGCACTCCCGGGGCTCAGTCTGGATGCAGAGAGAATTAAAGGAACCACTGCAAGTATGATGCATCTAACTCTGACTGTGTTTCAAAAATGGCGACGATAATCCCTATGTAAACAAAGACACAGTTCCCCACGGAAAGGGAGAGATTTCTTCAGAACTCAGCGTCTGAAGCGCCTGCATTTCCCACCAGTCGCTGCTGTCATTTAGCTTCCCAAGGGGATACATGTCCACAGTGTGAGGGCAATGGTACCTCCGCGGTTAGGCAGTCTCAGTCTTCTCTGTATAAGGAGCATAAAGAAAAAGCCCTTCCCGGGGGGTGGGGGGTCCCTGGGGAGCCACTTCCCCTGGAGCAGCCACACCGAAGGGGAGCGGTTCTAACTGTGCCCGGTCCTCCCGGCGGTTCCCGTCACAAAGCTAGTGCTCTTCCATCACCTCCTCTTTGATCACAGCAACGTGAAACATTCAGAGTGGCCTCAAGGGATCCATAACCCTAGATTGCCTCGGGACACAGGGCACCATTAGGGCTGAAATGTGGAGACAGGGCGGGAGGTGGGAGGGCTCGGCACGGAGGCTGGAAGACCCCATGCTTCTCTATGGTTGCCTCTGTTTTTTCAAAATTCTTAGGTATTTGCATAAAACCTTCCCTTCCTGCGAGTCTGGAGCAAGCGAGGGAGCAGGGACCTGGCGAGAAGCGGCGGAGACCTCACCAGCGCACGGCCTCCTTGTCTTTGAGGCTCAGAGGCAGAGCCAGCTGTGCTCCTCTGCAGAGCATATTGAGAGCAAGAAAAGAGTTAAAGATCTCACCCAGAGATACCAGAGGGGCCAGAAAAATCCTTTTATTAGGGCCAGGAGTCCTAGATCATATGCAGAAAGAAGTCGGGGAAGCTTAGGATATCTTAGGGCTGAGACTGGTGACCAGGCCTGAGAGCAGTTAAGAAATCTCTTTACAACCTTCCCAAGGACGCTTACTTTGAACTTTAATCCAGTTGCTCTGGTGTTTCCATTTGGTTCACCACCTCTCTTCTCCCTCAACTGTTAAGTCAAATCCTTAGAAAATCCAAAAGATCTTTGCTTAAGGGGTCGTCAGTCACAGAGACAGGGTTAGTTAGTGACACCGGCTTAGGTTCTCAATGAGCTGTGAGTACACACGTGTGTGACGGGCTCCAAAATGAGAAGCAGCTGAGATGCACGGGTTCCCAGGGTAGTGAGGCTGCCAGCGGCAAGGCGAATTGGCTAACAGTGCTGCGCCCGCAGGGGGCGGCGATCACGGGAAGAGCAGTGGGAGTGCCAACCGAGCATGAGACAGGCACCGAGCCGAGGGCTCCAAGCTGCCGTTAACCATCACACAGACCCCACCGGGCTGCACTGTGCTATCGCAGCCATGTTGTAAGGACTTTACGGAGCCACAGACAAGTGAAAAGCGGGTGCACCTGGACGTTTCCGAGTCTCCAGAAATGCTACTTTTGAAGTTCTACTTGTTTCCCAAAGAATATTAGAGAAAAACCAGGTCCTCATGGGCAAAAAGCATTATGATGGCCAACTATGTTTGCCTGAGGAGACACGCTTCTCAAAGGCCTTGTTTTAGGAGAGCAGGAGAGGGAGGAACCTCTGATATTGTCATGTTTTGTCCTCCTTTCTCACAAATTGCGGAGCAGGAATCCGCCCGAGGGCACAGTTGGTCCGGCTCTGTGGCCCCAGCCCAGGGCTCCTTGCATGCGACCCACCACGTCACACCCCCCTTTTGCTCCCACTAGTGCCTAGCCGCCTGTGACCTGCATGGCCACTTTGTCCTGGAGTGTGCTGGGCTGGCTGCTCACTCTGGACTGGGGATGACAGCTTGGGGAGCACTTCCTGCCTGGTTCCTGTTTCTGAACACAGGCAGTAGGACTTGATGGACTGCGGCCAGGCTACAAGCATCATTTCTCACCAGTCTATCTTGAGCCCATTAAAGAAAATCACCTCAATGTGGACTACAGCGCAGCACAATCTCAGGCCCCTGCTGGGCATAGCCTTCAGCCCGGGGCCCCGGCCGGGGTAACCGCAGCTCGACCACAAAGCTTTGCCAAGCCCTCCTGCCTGCAGCCCACCCACAGCAAGAGCCAGGGAAAGGAGCTGGGGTGTGTGCTTTTCCTTTATGCCCACAAATGTCCCTTATAACTCTCCTCACAACTCTCCGGTGGAAGGGCATGTGCGATCTTAGAAGTCTTTCTCTGGGGAAGAAAAACCCAGAGCTTTAAGAATAACGCCCCCATCTTACTTTCAAACAGTCTGCTATAAATCAGACATTCTTTAACAGACTTTATTTTGAGCTCATCAGGGCGTTTAGGACCGAATGGCAGACTTGAGTAAGACAGCGTGCATCCTGCAGGGCCTTTGGTCTCTCTGGCCCTGCCTGCTAAATTCGAGTCGCACTCATCAGGCATCAGGATGTCCAAAATGTCCCTTCCTTGCTCTGAGAACCACCGACGCAGAGAGAATGCTGGGCCCTTTCGGAACTGGGAACTTGCCAAGAAGGCATATGCTGGCCGCCTTCTCTTCTCCCCTCAGAGTGGGAGAGCAGCAGCAGAGAGGCCCCAGGCGTGAAGAGCGCTGCGCTCTTCAAGAAGCGCGCCGCGCTGGCAGAGGAAGTCGGCTCTCACCACTTCCTGTGGGAGGAGGGAGGGTGAGTTACTCTAGCCACCCAGCTGCTGCCCACCCCAGTCAGATGCCCCTCCCAGCAGCTCTGCGACCACACACAGCGGCCCAGTCTCACTGCGGGCTTTGGCAGCTCTCCCTCCTGGTAATTATACCCTGGGAGCAAACCTGCTTCCTCTTCCAGGGGAGGCCTGGGGAGAGGGCAAGGAGAGCGAGGAAGAAGAGAGGCCGACATTCAGCGACACTGGAGGCAAAGCTGCTTTTCCACAGGATGACTTGGGCATTTATTCCAAAGCCTGCAGATACCAACTCTAAAACTTAATGCATGAGCAGAGGTGGAGAAGGTGGAAACCAAAACATCCCCTACTCTTCCCAGGGAGTTCGGCCAACAAACATCCACTGAGTGGAACTTAACCAAATGCAGTATGTAGATCCTGATTTTAAAAATCCTAACAACAATAACAACAACAAAAATACAAAAACTAGCTCTAAAAACATTTTGGGGACAACTGGGGAAATCTGACTATAGATTTAGATATTATTAATATTAACCTGTGCAATCATGATAATAGTTACATAGGAAAACGCATGCCGAAGTATTCAGGGGTGACGTATCATGTCTGCAATTTACTGTCAAACGGCTTAGCAAGAAACAAACAAAAAACTACACACACACAGTACATATGTGTGCGTACATACATTTAATGAGCAACCACTATGCACTGGGCCTTCGGAAAGCTGAATCCCTCTGCAGTGTGTGTGATACTAAGTCTGTGACATCCAGCTGAGCTGCAGCACACACAGCAGAAGGGGCTGAAGGGAGGCTGAAGTTCCTTGTGGGGTTTGAGTCTGTTTTAGAAGAAGTGGGTAGGGTCTCTATGGGAGAGAGAGCGTAGCACACCCTGGAAGGCTCCTGCCCCAGGAGGGGCCGTGGGAGACATGGTGACAGGGTTAGGAACGAGCCTTCAGGGAGCTGGAGCCAAGCTGAGCGGTGCAGTCAGGGCTATGCTGGCTCTGCCCCGGGGGAAGGCCAAGCCGCCCTGAGGACCAAGAAGACAAGTGCTTCCTGTTCTTGCCTTCCTGCAGGAAAAGGGCCTCCGAGGCAGGGACTGTGTTTATCTAACAACGAAGGGAAAGTGCATCTCTGGTAAGAGGCTGACTTGCAAGAACAGCTTAGAAATGGGTTTTCTGGCAAGGGGTCAGCGTCTGCTGGGAGTTATGCACATTAATTTCCAGAGAACATGAGGGAAATTGTTAGACATGTAGAAAGACATGAGAAAGCCAAGGGGGAAACCACATGGTTTTTCTGACAAGTCTCTAAACCAATAGCTCAGAGCCTACAACAAAGCAAAAACTGGAGGTCTCCACGGAACGACGCTCAATGATACGAGCAGAATGTGGGGAGGTAGCGTGAGGGGTTGAGAAAGACAGATGGGATAAAAACGAAGCTGAATCGGTTCGTACAGCACAGGCAGGTCTAAGAAAAGGGGTGGGAGGGACATTTTCCAAGAATAAAGCAAGAGAGGGGAAAAGGGCACCTTTTGCAATGTGACAAACTT